TCCCACCAGTATAAAGAATGAGGCACTATTTCTCCCACTGACACCAATGATGGATCACTATTCCTTCCATTGACATCAATGATGGGACACTATTCCTCCCACTGACACCACCAATGGGGCACTATTCCTTCCACTAATACCAATGATGGGGCACTATTCATCCTCTTGCTGATCACAGGCACTATATCATTTTTATATTCCCACTGACCACTAAACCTGATACATTTTCTACTCCCCCTTTCCACAGTCCAGCCTTCCTATAGTCTGAAGGACAATAAACTGGCCCTTTGTTTAGAAAGTTTGGAGACCCCTGTATTAGACAATTTTCCTTGACATTTCCCTTAGTAAACCACACTCTTAGACCATGCACAGTTTTTTACCCTAAATTAGATGCTATTTTGCAACTGGTATCACTATTATCTTGTACGCTCGTCATGTACTTTGGTCCTGGCAAATACAACACAGGTCATGGATTTCTAGACCTACTTTATCAGGTATATTCTTGATAACACTGAGTAATGGATCAAAGATTAGAGACTTCCACTTCACCAAACCATCCCCATGGAAGGAGAGCAATTAAATACCACCCAAAAACTCAAGCTTGAAGGCACCTAGGATAAAGAAACCCAATGGGGTAAAGACAGTCTTTAAAACTTCAATCACTGATGAACTCCATACCTATACAGGGGTGTATTTACCACAAGGCAAACAAGGCATTTGCCTAGGGCGGCATTTCTTGGAGGGGGGGGGGGCAGCACTAGGGCAGCCTAGGGCAGCACAAACCCTAAATACATCACTGTACCTATGTAGATGGGCTCAACAGGCTTCAGAATCCTGTACTGTGTATTCATGGGGTTAATGTCTGGGGGGGGGGTTATATAGTACCTCCTCCCTTGCTGTTATGATTATCTGTCGCAAACTATTGAGATGCTATCAGATAACAATGAAATTATGACCCCAGATTTGAAGGAAAAATATTTAGTATTGTTCAATTACCTCAAAGTACTGTATATCTGCACCCAAGAACAAAAACAAAATATATTGCAACTTACAAGCCAATAGATGTGGTCGCTGAGTTTGTTTTCTTTTTTTAAGTTTTTGAGGGTTTTTTTCACCTATTGATCCTGCCAATAATGTACTTCCTGTCCTAGGGTGACAATGCTCACTATGCTATATCTATGGAGGAGTGGTGATGTCACCCAAAAGAACTGCAGGATTACTTTAACCTCCCCTTTTCCCCATATCCATAACATGGACAGGGATTCTATATGTAATATATTATATTTAATAAGAGTGCAGCACAGGCAGAGAGCACAGGAAGTTATTAACTAACATCTAGTGGGATCAGCTGGTATTTTTTGCACTTATTGCACAGATATAACAAAATTCTTTTAATGGTATACTTATTAGAACAATCTGTTTGCTGCAGTCAGGGGTCAGGCTTGGAGACCAGTAGCTACAGTGCTCAGCATAAACACCTTTTGAAAAGTAATATTTTAATCGATATTGAACACAAGAACAATTTCCAAAATGTTGACAAAACTGAGTTTTATAGATCATTTGTTTAGCTCATTACATGAAAGTAGGGTTAATAATATAACTTGTCTTCAGTTTTACTCAAATTAGTTGATGCAAAAATTAATTCACCCCACAAAAAAAAAACTACTGCATCTAGTATTTTGTATGACCTCCATGATTTGTAAAGACAGCACCAAGTCTTCTAAGCACAGAATGAACAAGTTAGAAACATATTGCAACATCTATCTTTTTCCATTCATCAAGAACGACCTCTTTAGGGGCCTGGATGCTGGATGGACAGTGATGCTCAACTTGTCTCTTCAGAATTCCCCATAGGTGTTCGATTGGGTTCAGATCAGGAGACATACTTGGCCACTGAATCACTTTCCCCCAGTTCTTCTTTAGAAATGCAACAGTGGCCTTAGATGTGTGTTTTTGATCATTATCACGTTGGAAAAGTGCACGACGACCAAGGGCATGGAGTGATGGTAGCATCATCTCTTTCAATATAGAGCAGTACATCTGTGAATTCATGATACCATCAATGAAATGAAGCTTGCTGACACCAGCAGCACTCATGCAGCCCCATAGAAGGACACTGCCACCACCATGTTTCACTGTAGGCACCATGCATTTTTTTTGTACTCTTCACCTTTGCGACGCTATACAGTATTGAAGCCATCATTTTCAAAAACATTTATCATGGTCTCATCACTCCAGAGTACAGAGTCCCAGTAGTCTTTTTCAGCATGGGCCCTGGCAAATTGTTATGAAGGCTTTTTTGTGCATGGGTTTCCTTGGTGGACGACATCTATTCATGCCATTCCTCTGCAGTGTATGCCGTATTGTGCCACAGGAAACAATCAACCCAATTTGGATTTCTACTTCTTTAGCTAACTGCGGTGAACTTGCATGGTGATTTTCTTCAACCTTTCTCATCAGAAGATGCTCCTATCTAGGTGTTAAATTCCATAGATGGCCTGAACGTCTCTGTGAGGTGGTTGCAGTTCCATTTTTGTATCACTTTTGCTACAGTATTTTGACTGATAAGTAAAGCTTTTGCTGATCTTCTTGTAGCCTTCACCTTTCTTGTGTAAAAAAATTATTTTCTTTCTCAGGCCTTGTGACATTTCTCTTCCATGTGGTGCCATTGCTGACAGCATGAAATGGGAAGGGGTTTTCTTTCTTAAGTAATGCCCTTTTATAATAAATCTTCTTTACAATTAATGGCCCGCATTTGTGGGAGTATTTTGTAGTATAGTGTGTGTGGGGGTAGCTCAGGTGGGGGATCACCTTCCCTGGAAAAAGGTAGTCCAAACAGTAGGGCTTTCTTAATATCTGCCTTGTCGTCAGTTTTATTTACAAGATTGCAAGCATCAAAACAAACGAATCAGAAAATAAATCCTCACCATCCAGGCACTGACTAAACACAGAAGATTCTTCTCTCAAAGATGAAGGGCTTCTCCCTGTCACCAACAAAAATGAAAACAGTATGAAAACCTTTTCCTTGCTTGTACAACGCACACTTTCATCCACAGCTCACTCAGATATGGCTCTCTGAGTCCCAGGCCAAGAGCAATTTCTTGCTCCAGTCCTGCCTTACTTATACCACCTGCTGGTGGTCATCAGTGGACCACAAAATCCAGTCCGGAACCACCTCTGCCACCTCTGAAAGGAAAGGTTTTCTGACAAATCTGTTGGGGTGTACTCATTTATGCTGAGCATGTATAGCAGTAGAGAGGCTCCCACCTCTCTACTGGGTCTGAGCACTATTCACCAGAGCTCATGATGGTGGAGATGGGTTTTGATCTATATTAGTACCAGGTAGCAGTCCTCAGGATCGTCCCACCAGGAGATGAGCAAGCTGGGGTCCAGTAGCAGATATAGCAGGTAGGTATCAAGCAGTAGTGTGGTGTAGTAGGGAACAAACCAAAGGTTGGTAACAAGTAGTAGCAAAGATACAGACAGCAGCAGGAGTGACAAGAGTGAGATTGTCAGGAATGGACTGGCCAGCAATGGTGGGACTCACCTGCCTTTTGATCTGCAGTACCAGGGCTGGCCAGCGGGTGCTCCCAGCAATCAGAGACTCAACCTTTCAGCCAGCTAACACCTGGAACTGATGATGCTGGGGTATTTAAGGGATGGCCAGACCCACAGACTCTGCCTTGGTGTTGTGTTTGTCCTGGGCCCTGTATCTGTCCTGCATCCTGTTTCTGTCCCTCTGCCTGACCCTCTGTACTACGCTGCTTGTTACCTGTTTTGATCCCTGGCTTGTGACCCTGACCATCCCTCTGCCTGACCCTCTGTACTACGCTGCTTGCTACCTGCTGAACCTGGCCTGTGACCCCGACCATTCTCTGCTTGCTCCCCCTGTACCTACCTGCCCAATTGATATTGACCCGGCCTGCCTGACGACGCTTGCTTGTATATGTACTGTTATCTGTGGGTGATTGGTTGGGTTTGTTTGCACTGTATTATGTTTAGTATTGCACTGCGTTTATGTTTGTATGGTTAGTGTTAATAAATTGTATTGTTTATCACATATCTGAAGTCTGCGTTTCCCTGCATCAGTCACACACCTCTGGTCATACCTGGGAGCCCTGACATTACACCAAGGCCAATCCTGACCAGAAGTGGCTGCACAGGGAAGCCATCTTGGCTTGTTGATGGGAAGGATGGATCTTGATGAGGTTGAATATTTATATCTGCTAGTGTTTGATGACAGGGAGTATGCTTATCAAACTCTGAAGGAGTATACCCGGGATGAACTGCTAGAATGTATACGGCTCGCTCATGTTCTAGTAGATCAGGGCACAGAGTTCTCTGAGGTGCAGCCATTGATTGAGGTTTGTGCTGAGTTGGTTTCATCTGGTTCCCCCGAATGCAGGGATGAATTTTTGCCACCATTTAGTGCAGACCAGGTAGAGTCCCTGGTGTGGTTATTAGAGGATGATGTGGGTTACTTTCTGGAGCATTATTCCACATGTTCACCACAGACACTGAGAGATTGTATAAACGCAGTGCAGTCATTGACCAGACAGGCTTTGTGTAAGCTCAGCTTTGTTCAACCCCTACTGCAGACATGGACAGACTTGTTGCACCCAGCCTCAGTCAGCTTACAAAGACCCAGTCTGCTGCTTCTAATCTATTTCCTCAAAACTCTATTCCTGCATTCCCAACAGCTCCTCCTGCCCTGCTATCTACCGCATGTCAGTACCCTGTTCCCACTCGCTGCACCTATCCTGCCTTTAACCCTGTAAAGAAGCCCTCTGTAGCAACTGCTCCCTCCCCTGTTCCATCCTCCAGTTCTTCTCTGTCTCCAGCTGCTCCATTCGTTTGCAGACCTGCGTTTACTTGCAGTGCTCCAGTAGTTAAAACCAGAAAAAAGCGAAAATTCTTTCCAACCAATACCATCCTGCCAGTATCCAAACCGGTGAACCTGCCTTCCGTGACTCAGCCTGAAGCCTCTACTCAGCCTGAAGCCTCTACTCAGCCTGAAGCCTCTACTCAGCCTGATGCCTCTACTCAGCCTGATGCCTCTCTTCAGCCTGATGCCGGTACGCAGCCTGATGCCTCTCTTCGGCCTGATGCCTCTCTTCGGCCTGATGCCTCTACTCGGCCTGATGCCTCTACTCGGCCTGAAGCCTCTACTCGGCCTGATGCCTCTACTCGGCCTGAAGCCTCTACTCGGCCGGACGCCGGCATTCAGCCTGATGCCTCTACCCAGCATGATGAACTGATCCAGCCTGACGATCCTATTAGGCCAGTTGACTCGATGCCCGCTGTTGATCCAGATGATCCGGTACCTGATCCGGTGCCCGCTGTCGAGCCAAATGACCTGATGCCTGGTGACCCAGTGCCCGCTGTCATACCTGGTGACCCGATGCCCGCTGTCGAGCCAGACAATCCGGTACCTGATGACCCGGTGCTCACTGTCGTGCCTGTTGACTCGGAGCCCACTGCCTTGCCAGATGACGCGGTGCCCGCTGTCGAGCCAAATGACCTGATGCCTGGTGACCCAATGCCCGCTGTCCAGTCAGACGATCCAATGTCTGACCCAGTGCCCGCGGTCATACCAGTTGACTCGGAGCCCACTGCCTTGCCAGATGACGCGGTGCCCGCTGTCGAGCCAAATGACCTGATGCCTGGTGACCCGATGCCCGCTGTCCAGCCAGACGATCCAATGTCTGACCCAGTGCCAGCGGTCATCCCAGTTGACTCGGAGCCCACGGTTGTGCCTGGTGACTCGGTGCCCGCCGCCCCGCCTGGGGGCCTGAGACCTGTCGTTCCGCCTAAGGGCCCGAGACCTGTCGCTCCGCCTGGGGGTCCGGCGCCCGCCACTCCGCCTGAGGGTCCGAGACCTGTCGCTCCGCCTGGGGGTCCGGCGCCCGCCGCTCCGCTTGAGGGCCCGAGACCTGTCGCTCCTCCTGGGGGTCCGGCGCCCGCCGCTCCGCCTGAGGGCCCGAGACCTGTCGCTCCGCCTGGGGGTCCGGCGCCCGCCGCTCCGCCTGAGGGCCCGAGACCTGTCGCTCCGCCTGGGGGTCCGAGACCTGTCGCTCCACCTGGGGGTCCCGCGCCCGCCGCTCCGCCTGAGGGCCCGAGACCTGTCGCTCCGCCTGGGGGTCCGGCACCCGCCACTCCGCCTGAGGGCCCGAGACCTGTCGCTCCATCTGGCGGTCCGGCGCCCGCCGCTCCGCCTGAGGGCCCGAGACCTGTCGCTCCGCCTGGGGGTCCGGCGCCCGCCGCTCTGCCTGGGGGCACGATGCCTGTCGCCCCGCCTGGGGCACGATGCCTGTCGCCCCGCCTGGGGGCATGGTGCCTGTCGCCCCGCCTGGGGGCCCGATGCCTGTCGCCCCTCCTGGGGGCCCGGCGCCCGCCGCCCTGCCTGGGGGCCCGACGCCGGTCGCCCCGCCCGGGGGCCCGGTGCCTGCTGCTCCGCCCGGGGGCCCGGTGCCTGCTGCTCCGCCGGGGGGCCCGGTGCCTGCTGCTCCGCCCGGGGGCCCGGTGCATGTCGCCCCGCCCGGGGGCCCGGTGCCTGTCGCCCCGCCCGGGGGCCCGGTGCCTGTCGCCCCGCCCGGGGGCCCGGTGCCTGTCGCCCCGCCCGGGGGCCCGATGCCTGTCGCCCCGCCCGGGGGCCCGGTGCCTGCTGCTCCGCCCGGGGGCCCGGTGCCTGCTGCCCGCCCGGGGGCCCGGTCGCCCCGCCCGGGGCCCGATGCATGTCGCTCCGCCCGGTGGCCCGCTGCCTGCTGCTTCGCCTGGTAATCCGATGTGCCTCTGCCCGGAGTCCTGCCCGATGTGCCTCTGCCCGGAGTCCTGCCCGATGTGCCTCTGCCCGGTGTGCCTCTGCCTGGAGTCCTGCCCGATGTGCCTCTGCCCGGAGTCCTGCCCGATGTGCCTCTGCCCGGAGTCCTGCCCGATGTGCCTCTGCCCGATGTGCCTCTGCCCGGAGTCCTGCCCGATGTGCCTCTGCCCGGAGTCCTGCCCGATGTGCCTCTGCCGATGTGCCTCTGCCCGGTGTGCCTCTGCCCGATGTGCCTCTGCTCGATGTGCTTCTGCCCGGAGTCCAGCCCGGTGTGCCTCTGCCCGGAGTCCAGCCCGGTGTGCCTCTGCCCGGAGTCCAGCCCGGTGTGCCTCTGCCCGGAGTCCAGCCCGGTGTGCCTCTGCCCGGAGTCCAGCCCGGTGTGCCGCTGCCCGGAGTCCTGCCCGGTGTGCCAGTCTTTGATATCCCGCCGTTACCAGACCCGGGCGGTGGAACATTTTGCCCAGCTAGGACTGTTTGGAGCGTCCTGAGGCCGCTCCTTGGGGGGGGGGGTACTGTCAGGAATGGACTGGCCAGCAATGGTGGGACTCACCTGCCTTTTGATCTGCAGTACCAGGGCTGGCCAGCGGGTGCTCCCAGCAATCAGAGACTCAACCTTTCAGCCAGCTAACACCTGGAACTGATGATGCTGGGGTATTTAAGGGATGGCCAGACCCACAGACTCTGCCTTGGTGTTGTGTTTGTCCTGGGCCCTGTATCTGTCCTGCATCCTGTTTCTGTCCCTCTGCCTGACCCTCTGTACTACGCTGCTTGTTACCTGTTTTGATCCCTGGCTTGTGACCCTGACCATCCCTCTGCCTGACCCTCTGTACTACGCTGCTTGCTACCTGCTGAACCTGGCCTGTGACCCCGACCATTCTCTGCTTGCTCCCCCTGTACCTACCTGCCCAATTGATATTGACCCGGCCTGCCTGACGACGCTTGCTTGTATGTACTGTTATCTGTGGGTGGTTGGTTGGGTTTGTTTGCACTGTATTATGTTTAGTATTGCACTGCGTTTATGTTTGTATGGTTAGTGTTAATAAATTGTATTGTTTATCACATATCTGAAGTCTGCGTTTTCCCTGCATCAGTCACACACCTCTGGTCATACCTGGGAGCCCTGACAGAGATATTGGCTGGAGAGAGCAAAATAATCTGGCCAACAGGATGTGCAGAGGCATGGTTAAAATCAAAAAGTTCATGGGAGGAGCAAAATGTTCAGGGTTCATGGGAAAAAAAAGACAAGGCAAGATTGTCCTAAGAGATCAGACAGGGATCTGTCCAGCATTTCAGGTGGCACAGCATGACACCACAGAACTCATAGGTTCAGATCCAAAATCTGACACTGTTAACACAAACATTGCGAACATTTAGCTTGAAATTACCCATATCTTCACATTATTGTTGAATGCGTAGCCTTAGTTGCATATATTTTCAGACATATGTGGAAACCAGTGGTGTATTTAGGTTTTGTGCTGCCCTAGGCCACTCAAAAATTGCCCCCCCAGCAGAGAGAGCCTGATTTTGACCAACAACATCCTTGCCCCTCCACCCAAGAGAGCTTTCCACTAACACAGACATTGACCAACAACACCCCTGCCCCCCACCACCCAAGAGAGCTTTCCACTAACACACATCTCCCTCTTCCCTGCGAGAGAGAGAAAGACATTCACCTTTACAGCTTCAGACATCCCTGGGAACGAGAGTCGGGCTCTGCATACACCATCCAGCAGCCCGAAGCCTCTATCTCTCTGGTACCCACCTGGTCCCCATGCCGCAAGTGTCCCTTCTTCCAGGGGGCAGTGCTGCCCCCCTGAAAAATACCACCCTAGGCAACTGCCTTGTTTGCCTTGTGGTAAATACACCCCTGGTGGAAACATTCCTCTGGAAATGTTTGTTTAGCGCTATGTACATGCAGTGCCTTTTAATTCTTTATTTTATCCAGTGCCTCATCCCTTTGTGTTATATGCACTGCCTAATATATCTCAATTTAAAGCATTGTATCATGCTTCCCTGTTACATTCAATGCCTCAAATTTTTCTATTGTGCCCAGAGCATTATATCTTTTTATTACGCAGAGTGGCTCACATTACATTTAGTGTTTCATACAGTGAGGAACAGATGTATTTGAACACCCTGCGATTTTGCAAGTTCTCTCACTTAGAAATCATAGAGGGGTCTGAAATTCACTCTGTAGGTCATTCCCACTCTGAGAGACAGAAGTTAAAAAAACAATTCAGGAAATCACATTGTATGATTTTTAAAGAATGTATTTGTCTTGCGCTGCTGAACATAAGTATTTGAACACCTTAGAAAATCAGTGTTAATATTTGGTACAAAAGCCTTTGTTTGCAATTACAGAGGTCAAACGTTTCCTGTAGTTCTTGACCAGGTTTGCACACACTGCAACAGGGATTTTGGCCCACTCCTCCACACAGATCTCCTCTAGATTTGTCAGGTTTCGGGGCTGTCGCTGAGCAACATGGAGTTTCAGCTCCCTCCAAAGGATGTTCTATTGGATTTAGGTCTGGAGACTGGCTAGGCCACTCCAGAACCTTGATATGCTTCTTACGGAGCCATTCATTGGTTATCCTGGCTGTGTGCTTCGGGTCGTTGTCATGTTGGAAGACCCAGCCACGACCCATCTTCAATGCTCTGACTGAGGGAAGGAGGTTGTTGCTCAAAATCTCACAGTAAATGGCCCCATTCATCCTCTCCCTAATACAGTGCAGTCGTCCTGTCCCCTTCACAGAGAAAAGCACCCCCAAAGCATGATGTTACCACCCCCATGCTTCACAGTAGGGATGGTGTTCTTGGGATGCAACGCTACCTTCTTGTTCCTCCAAACACGACGAGTGAAGTTTAGACCAAAAAGTTCTACTTTTGTCTCATCTGACCACATGACTTTCTCCCATGCCTCCTCTGGATCATCCAGATGGTCATTGGCAAACTTCAGACGGGCCTGGACATGTGATGACTTGAGCAGGGGAACTTCCGTGCAATGCATGATTTGAAACCATGACGGCATAGTGTTCTACCGACAGTGATCTTTGAAACTGTGGTCCCAGCTCTCTATATGTCATTGACCAGCTCCTCCCTTGTAGTTCTGGGCTGATTCCTCACCTTTCTTATCTTCAGTGATACCCCACGAGGTGAGATCTTGCATGGAGCCCCAGTCCGAGGGAAACTTTAGCCTCTTTCCATTTTCTAACAATTGCTCCAACAGTTGATCTATTTTCACCAAGCTGCTTGGCAATTGCCCGTAGCCCTTTCCAGCCTTGTGGAGGTCCACAATTTTGTCTCTGGTGTCTTTTGACAGCTCTTTGGTCTTGCCCATGGTAGTAGTTGGTGTCTGACTGTGGGGTGGACAGGTGTCTTTAAAGAGCTCAGACAGGTGCTACTAAGTTAGATTAATGAGTAGAGTAGAGGTGGACTTTTTAAAGGCACAGTAAAAGGTCTTTGAGAGCCAGAATTCTTGCTGTTTCTTAGGTGTTCAAATACTTATGTTCAGCAGTGCAAGACAAATAAATTCTTTAGAAATCATACAATGTGATTTCCTGAATTTTTTTTTTTTAATTCTGTCTCTCAGAGTGGGAATGCACCTACAATGTGAATTTCAGACCCCTCCATGATTTCTAAGTGGGAGAACTTGCAAAATCACAGGGTGTTCAATTACTTCTGTTCCTCGCTGTATGTACCTAAACACACACTATGCCTCATATCTATGTATTATACACAGTGCCTCATACCTCCCAGTTACACACAGTGCCTCATTCCTCTCTATTACGTGTTGTGATGATGGCAGTCTCAAAATCCACAGCTGCTATCAGAATGTGACAATGGCACTTTAGGCTTACCCTGCATGGAGGTTTTCCCGGCTCTTGGTACAACGACAATTCTTAGATTAAAAACATCTGTATACACTTGTCCAACCCAGACAGGGGTATGACAAATTTAAAAATTTGTGCTCTTTAAAAAAACAGGG